TCCGATTTGTTCAACAACGCTGGCAGCGCGATGCTCACCAGCGAGCTGGCACGTTTTGAATGAGCTTCCTGTCAACAACGCTTGTAGCGTGATATTCATTGCCAGCGAAATGGTGCGCTTGTTGTGATTTGATTGGCAGCAACGCTGGCAGCGCGAAGCGGACCCGAAGCGAGACTGCGCGACTGCGAGGCCCATGTGAAGCGAACAACGGGAGGACCACCAGCCGAGGACGCGTGTCAAGAGAAATCCGGCGATCCGGCGTGTGAGTTTCTGAGAGCGTGGGCTTGAGCTCGCTTAAGCCTCGCTCTGCGGGGGGGGGACCTCATTTCCGACCTAATTCCGACCTAATCCCGACCTAATTCAGTGATTCGCCCAAGCCTCGCTTTGCGGGGGGGGGGGGACCTCATTTCCCATCCCACCTAATTCCGACCTAATTCAGTGCTTCGCCCTCCCCCCCCTCCCAGAGCGGAACCCCCCATCCCCTGCAGAACGCCCCCTCCCGTTTCCTGCAGCCCAGCCCCCCCCCCCCCCTGCAGAGCGGACCTCGCCCCTGTAGCCCTTCCGCCCCACTGCAGAGCGAACCCCCCCTCCCCCTGCACCACCACCCCCCTGCAGAGCAACCCCCCCCTGCAGAGCGGACCTCCTCCCTGCAGCCCCCCCCCCCTGCAGAGCGGATCCCCCTCTCCTCCCCTGCCCCCCCCCTCTGCAGAGCAGACCCGCCCTCCTGCAGCCCCCCCTCCTCCCAGAGCGGACCCCCCTCCCCTGCAGAGCGGACCGCCCCCCCCCCCTGCAGCCCAGCCCCCCCCCGCTGCAGGCGGACCCTCCGCTCTGTGCAGCCCCCCCCTGCAGAGCGGACGCTCCCCTATCCCCAGCCCCCCCCCCCCCCCCCCACCCCTTGCCGAGCGGACCCGCCACTGTAGCCCCCCAGCCCCACTGCAGAGCGAACCCCCCCCTCCTCCCTGCCACCCCCCCCACCCTGCAGAGGCAACCCCCCTCCTGCAGAGCGGACCTCCTCCCTGCAGCCCCCCCCCCCTGCAGAGCGGACCCCCCCTCCTCCCCTGCACCCCCCTCCTCTGCAGAACAGACCCCCCTCCTGCAGCTCCTCATCCTCCCAGAGCGGACCCCCCCCCCTGCAGAGCGGACCGCCCCCCCTCCTGCAGCCAAGCCCCCTACCCTTGCAGAGCAGGATCCCCCGCTCAGTGCAGCCCCCCCCCCTGCAGAGCGGACGTTCCCCCCTCCCCTGCCCCCCCCCCCCCCCCCCCCCCCCTGCAGAGCAGACTTCCTTTCCTGCACCCCCCCCCTCCTTCAGAGCGGGACCCACCCTCTCCCTGCAGTCCCCTGACCTCTGCCAGCGGGATCCCCCTGCATAGCAGACCCCCTCCCCTGCCCTCCCCCCTGCAGCATCATCCTGATCATCATCTTGCGGACCCCCCCGGATCGGCAGCACTGGCCGGAGGCCACTACAATAAACCAAAATTATTCACTGCGTGGGGATCCCCATATGTGCATCTCCTTGCTGGCGCTCCCTTGGTGGTGGGACTCGGTGAGGACGAATCTGGATTTAAGTGTGACTGAGCTGCCTCTCTCTCTCTCTCTCTCTCTCTGCTCTCTCTGTCTCTCTCTCTCTCTCTCTCTGCCCTCTCTCTGTCTCTGCCTCTTTTTGCCTGCCTCTTTCTCTCTCTCTCTCTCTGCCTCTCTCTCTGCCTCTCTCTCTCTGCCTCTCTCTCTCTCTCTGCCTCTCTCTCTGTGCCTCTCTCTCTCTGCCTCTATCTCTGCCTCTCTCTCTCTCTCTCTCTCTATCCTCTCTCTCTTCTCTCTATTATCTCTCTGCTCTCTCCTCTCTCTCTCACTCTCCCTCTCTCTCTCTCTCTCGCTCTCTCTCTTCTCTTCTCTTCTCTTCTCTCTCTCTCTCTATCTCTCTCTCTCTCTCTCTTTCTCTCTTCTCTCTATTCTCTCTCTGCTCTCTCCTCTCTCTCTCACTCTCCCTCTCTCTCTCTCTCGCTCTCTCTCTTCTCTTCTCTTCTCTTCTCTCTCTCTCTCTCTATCTCTCTCTCTCTCTCTTCTCTCTCTCTCTCTTTCGCTCTCTCGCTCTCTCTTGCTCTCTCTCGCTCTCTGTCGCTCTCTCTCGCTCTCTCTCTCTCTCTCTCTCTCTCTCTCGCTCTCACTCGCTCTCTCTCGCTCTCTCTCGCTCTCCCTCGCTCTCTCCCGCTCTCTCTCTCTCTCTCTCTCTCTCTGCTCTCTCTCTCTCTCTCTCTCTCGTCTCTCGCTCTCTCTCTCTCTCTCTCTCTCTCTCTCTCTCTCTCTCTCTCTCTCTCTCTCTCTCTCTCTCTCTCTCTCTCTCTCTCTCTCTTCTCTCTCTCTCTCTATCCCCCCCCCCTCTCTCTCCACTTTCTCTCTCTCTCTCTCTCTCTCTCTCTCTCCTCTCTCTCTCTCTCTTCTATCTCTATCTCTCTCTCTTTCTTTTCTCTATTCTCTCCTCTCTCTCTCTCTCTTTCTTCTCTCTTCTCTCTTTCTCTCGCCTGTCTCCTCTCTCAACTCCCCCTCTCTCTCTCTCTCTCTCTCTTCGCCCTGTCTCCTCTCTAGACTCCCCTCCTCTCTCTCTTCTCTCTCTCGCTCTCTCTCCGCTATCTCTCTCTCTCTCTCTCTTTCTCTCTCTCTCTCGTTCTCTTTCCTCTCCCCCTCTCCCTCATTTCTCTCTCTCTCTCTCTTGCTCTCTCTCTCTTCTCTTTCTCTCATTCTCTCTTTCTCTCTTCTTTACTCTCTCTCTTTCTTTCTCTTGCTCTCTCTCTCTCTCTTTTTCTCTCCTTCTCTCTCTCTCTCTCTCTATCTTCCTCTCTCTCTCTCTCTCTCTCTTCCTCGCTCTCTCTCTCTCTCTCTCTCTCTCTCTCGCTCGCTCGCGCTCTCTCTCTCTCTCTCTCTCGCTCGCGCTCGCGCGCTCTCTCTCTCTCTCTCTCTCTCTCGCTTTCTCTCTCTCTCTCTCTCTCTCTCCTCTCTCTCTTTCTCTCTCTCTCTCTCTCTCTCTCTCTCTCTCTCTCTCTCTCTCTCCTCTCTGCTCTCTTCGCTACTGGCTTCTGACGGAGTCTGGGTTAGGTGAGCCTGAGTGTGGGTGAGTCTGAGTATGGGTACGTCTGTGTGTGCCTGACTCTGAAGAAATGAATCTGAGTGTGAGTGAGCTTGTGTATGAGTGAGTCTGGGTGCGAGTCTGAATCCCAATGGTGCCCCTGGCAGTGTCTGGCGACTAGGAGGCCCGGGTCGACTCCTCTTTGGGAAGCCAAAATGCTGCCCCTGGCAGCGTTTGGTGACTATGAAGCCCCTGGTGGACCCCCCCTGGGGCTCCCAAATGATGCCCCTGGCAGCGTTTTGTGACCATGAGGCTCTCAAGAGATACATGTTGGGGACGCCAAACGGCAATTCTAGCTGAGGCGTCCCACCAAAATCGGCGCGAACGGGCTCGTGAGATCAGCCAGGGTGGCTCCCCCTTGGGGCTCCCAAATGATGCCCCTGGCAGCGTTTTGTGACCATGAGGCTCTCAAGAGATACATGTTGGGGAGGCCAAACGGCAATTCTAGCTGAGACGTCCCACCAAAATCGGCGCGAACGGGCTCGTGAGATCAGCCAGGGTGGCTCCCCCTTGGGGCTCCCAAATGATGCCCCTGGCAGCGTTTTGCGACCATGAGGCTCTCAAGAGATACATGTTGGGGGCGCCAAACGGCAATTCTAGCTGAGACGTCCCACCAAAATCGGCGCGAACGGGCTCGTGAGATCAGCCAGGGTGGCTCCCCCTTGGGGCTCCCAAATGATGCCCCTGGCAGCGTTTTGTGACCATGAGGCTCTCAAGAGAGACATGTTGGGGAGGCCAAACGGCAATTTTAGCTGAGACGTCCCACCAAAATCGGCGCGAACGGGCTCGTGAGATCAGCCAGGGTGGCTCCCCCTTGGGGTTCCCAAGTGATGCCCCTGGCAGCGTTTTGTGATCATGAGAGAGTGTGAGTGTGAGTGAATGTGACTCTGAGTGAATCTGAGTGAGAGCGAGTCTCATCTTATCTTATCGAGTCATATCTTATCTTACCTTTATTACCCTCTACCTTATCTTATCTTGAAATCTCTTATCTTGTATTAGATTAGCTTATATCAACTCATCTTATCGCATCATATCTTGTCTTATAGTATTACTCCATGGGCTGTCTTATCTTATATATTATCATACCTTGTCATATATCTTATCTTACATTATCATATATTGTGCTATCTTATCTTATCTTGTAGTATCTTATCTTGTCTTGTCTTATCTGGTGATTATCATTGGGAGGAGGGAGGCGCGAGCGGGAGGAAGGAGGAGCAGTGGGAGGCGTCAGAGTAATAACAAGAACCCCAATCCTTAGGATATGGGGAAAGACTGTCTAGGAAAACCTGGTTGAAGAAAAACACCCAAGCGACCGCGATGCGGCAATCCCTGGGGAACTTTACCCTCTCCACGACCCAACGTCGCGACCGCGACGACGGTGGCAAGACGAACACAGAAGAAAAAAAAAATTGGCCCCGAGGGGGGCTTGAGGGTCCCAAACGTTTGGTGAAAGACCGCGCGGTGTCGTCGAAGTCCTCAAGAAACGTCACCGCACGGTCCGTATCACCGCACGCGTTTCAGACCCTGGAGGCCCCAGTCACCTGATGCGTCCTCGGAGGACGACGCAACTCCCATAACCACGCGGTGACCCCGAACCCCTACTGACTCACCACACCGGCCCTCTTGTGAATGCTTGGTTCCCGGGCCATAACTCCAATCTCTGGCAGCCGTTCGGGACGATCTGGGTACCCCCGCAACGCTCCCGGCGACGCACAGCTGCTGGAACGCATCAAGGGGCAGGAGAACCCCCCAGAACCAACGAAAACGTCCGAAAACCCCGACTCCCCGCTGACTCACCACACGGCGTCGTCACCACAGCGTGTGGGAGCCCCCCCCCGAGGGGGCGCGGATCGGAGGAGGCGCTGGCCCCGCTGGCATAGGGCAGCCGCCGGACGCGCCGCAGCGGGGAGAGAGCGTCCAGATCACAGGGGCGATGCCTGGGGCGGAAGGAGGGGGAAGGGAGAGGGAAAGAGGGGAGGACGGAAGGAACAATGGAGGAGGACCACTGTAAACCAAAAACGCACCAACGATATTGCAATGGATAAATTTCCCTTTCCCTTTTTTCATGGGTGCCCGCAGGAATTTCGGGACAGGGATGAGCCCGAAAATAATGTGTGGCAAATCATGGCTCGTTGGCTCTCGCGAACCGGCGATAACCGCCGCGAGCCGACGATAAATCGACGTGAGTGCACGCTGGACCGGCGTTTTTTCCACGATCGCACGCTAGCGCCCGGTAGTGCATTCGAGATACGAAAATTCACGACATGCCACCGAGCACACGAATGCAGCTCCCAGTCCGCGAGGCCAGCCTCGCGTTCACCTGATGACTTTCGCGCATCGCGGCCCGCGGCACGCGACGCACAGTCATCTTCGCGCCCTCGCGCCCTCGCGCTGTTGCGCCGCTCTCTTGGAGACGGGCCGCATGGGCAACCGCACCAGCGATGACCGCGACGGCGAAGCGAGATCATCTTCGCGCCCCCGCGAGCGAATTCGGTCACGAACGTTCCCGCCACGCGCATTCTCCAAACCCACGCGAGGGTATGTGCCAAGCCCCCGACGTCGCGATTTTGTTCACAACGTCGGGTTTTTTGACGGCCCCGAAGCTCGGCAAGGGCCCCCGAAGGCCAAAATGTCGCAAAAAAACCGTCGTGATTCTTTCACAACGCGAAGGGGTCTGGGGGGCGCGTGCACGTTCTTGCCATCGCTCCTCCGATGGAACGCCGTCGGTCGGGAACTCCAGGTCGACTGCCCCCCGCCAACATCGGCGGAGGCAGAGAGGGCCGGACAACCCAGGTGGCGAGCAGCACACGCACTCGCTGGAGAGCCCTTGCCGAGAACCTGGGCGACGGGAGCCCCTGCCTACACGCAGCGGCCCCCCTTGGGATCCCAACGCCCCCCTCGCGTTGCGAAAGAACCACGACGAGAGGTTTTGCGTTATTTTCGGCCTGCAGGGGCGCTGGGCCTCGGGACCCAGGCCTCCGGGGGTCGACGTTGCGGCGAAAAATTACGAGGTCGGGGTCTGGGTTGACCGCCCCTGCAAAGGGGCCCAGGATCGATCCATCGGACCGGCGCGACCGACATGGACCGGATCGGTGGAAAGATCGGCATCCGAGTTGGGCAGAGTCGAATCGGCGGAAGTCGGCACGCCAGTGGGCCTCCATCGAACTGAAGAGCCGGACTCCCCCTTACTAGCCCGCAACGCACGCGCGGCCCTTTTCGCCCGCGCGCGCGCTTCAGAGCCAGGTCAGACCCAGGCTGTAGCATGCTGCGGGGGGCCTGCGCCATCACCGGGCCCGCCGCATCCCGAGGACGCGCACGCTGCGCGGGGCAGCCCCCACCTCGGAAGCGGGCGCCGGCCGAAGCACGGAGACCGGCGACCCAGATCGGAGGCCGCCGAGCACGAGTCCAACCGCAGGAGGTCGAAGCGAGCCCGGCCCTGCTGCCGCCGCCGACCCTCGGCCACCCAAGCCCGCCGCACCCTTCTCGCCGGGGGCCGGTGCCGCCGAAGGCGCGGCCACGCGGGCGGGCGGCGGGGCACCCGCCGCGCGGGAGGAGCGGCGCGGGCGGAGGCCGAGGGCCAAAGCCTCGCCCCGGGGACTGGTGCTGGGCGTCGAGGGAGGAGCGAGAGCCACTGAGTGGTGGCCTCACGCGGTGGCGCACGCGGCCCGCCTGCGCGGCACGCCTCGCTGGAGACGAGGGCGCTGACGCGCGGCCTTGCGCCAGCAGCTTGCGCGCCAGTGTCGGCGCAGACGACCCCGTGTGTTGGCGTCGCTCACTTACAGGCGGCAAGCGAGGGGGGGAGTGAGAAGGAGAAGGCCTGCTCAGACGGCGGCGGGGTTTCTCAGGAGCCGTCGCGCCTTCTGGGAAGTGTTCGATGTCTTCGGGGAAGGCTCCGAAAATTTCTCTGAGGCCAGGGGACTTCCGAGCCTTCTAAGAAAGCCCACCTCTTTCTCCCTTCCCATCCCCGGGCTCGCCGCCGCATTTGGCTAAGGCGAATCCAAAACGAGGACAAAATCGGGTGAGGAGCAATCAGGAATCTTTGAGATCCGGCTGCTCTGGAAGACGTCTCGGGCGACGCGGCCTTCCCAGAGCGTTCCGGAACGCTCTGAGAACGTTCCAGAGCACTCTGGAACGGACTTATCCTCGTCCCAGCCTTAAGTCGTGCCTGTCCCCCTACCGGGGGATTTCGGCGAAAAATGAAAAATTCCCCCCCAAAAAAAATAATCAAAAAAAAGAATCCAAAAATAGTCTGGGGACAATGTGTTCAATATTTTGTTTACCTTTTGGTGGTATTTTTGGGGTATTTTTCATTTTTCGGCGAAAATCCTCCTGTAGGGGGACACGCCCGACATAATCCCAGCCCCGCCCGATGGGCGGCGCGCACCAGGGGTTAGGGGGAGGGGGGAGGCTTCTTAGAAGGATGTTGCTCCTTAGAGCCAGCCTTACATCTGCAGACAACACGGGTGCCGATAAGAAGCCTTCCACCCTCCCCCTCCTGTACCTGACGACCTACCAGACCACCCCAGCCCAACCCGAAGACCCGAATCTCGGGTCGGGAGGGGCATGGGCTCCATGTGCGTTTTCTCGATGTCCCCGGACCGCCCCACACTGGGAAGGGAGGGCAAATGGAGGCCTTCGGGTTGGGCTGGGGTGGCTTGGTGGGTGGTGGGTACCCCCCTCCGAGCGAGGCCGACCCACGAGGGGCGCCGCTTCGAGGCTTCTCGGGCGCACACCGGCACGGAGCGGGCGAGGCGCCCCGGCGACGGGAGGGGCCGGTGCCGGCCTGGCGGGGCGACGGAGCGCGCCGACTCTGCACGGAGGCAGGACCCGCCGCCAGTCCACGCGCCGTCCGTGCTCACGGCTCCTCGAGTTCCGGCCTCGGGGGGGGGGAGGGGGAGGGGGGGGAGGGGGGGAGGGGGGGGAGGGGGAGGAGGGGAGGGGGGGGGGGAGGGGAGGGGGAGGGGAGGGGAGGGGAGGGGGGAGGGGGAGGGGAAGGGGGAGGGGAGGGGGAGGGGAGGGGAGGGGGAGGGAGGGGACGGGGGGGAGGGGAGGGGAAGGGGAGGGGGGGGGAAGGGGGGGCTCTCGGCCGCCGGGGGGCCACCAGAAGCCGACGCGCGGCGAGAAAGGGAGGCGGCCCCGGGGACGGGGTCGAGCGTCCCCGGGCCGACGCGTGGAGGAAGCACGGAGGCAAGGTCGGGGCTTTGCCAGCCAATTGGCAGCACGCACGGCCGAATCCACGCGCAGAGACGTGTGCAGGCCGCGCGCGCTGGGTGCACGCGCGGAGGGCTGGCGTGCACTGCCGTGGAGGGGCCGGGCGCTGGAAAGACGCGCGGCCACAGCTGCATCCAGCCCTCGCCTGGGCTGGCCACGTCGGGCGTGTCGAGCTTCCTGGGAGGTCGCTCTGTCCACGTTGCGCGGAGAGGAGGAGGATCCCGACATCCGACGTGGTGTGAAAGCGGTGCGACTCGGGCATGGAGGGCCGTGGCAGGCGGGAGCCCTCGACCCCGGCTTCGCGCGAGAACCTTTCGGGCCGGATCGGTCAGTGCAGGCCCTGGGGCACAGCAACGGGGAGACGAGGCGCGTGGTGATGCTGTTCACGACGCGCGGATGTCAGGGCCCTCCCCCCTTCAAAACCCGTCCCTGACCCAGGCACCATCCTGACCCACTCTCCGAGCCGCGTTCAGAGTAGGCGAAGATTGGAGGGCTCCCGAAGGCAAAACAAACAAACAAACAACAAAAAATACGGCTCGCTCTCATTCGCTCGCGTGTCACACTCCAGTTCATCCAAAAGCCTCGATGCCCTGCCTTTTCGTATGGATATAGTTCCTTGTCCACCCCAGATATTCGCGGGCCAAGGGGGGTGGACCTCCAAGAGGGCGCATACTTCAGAAATGGAATCTCGACAACAACAACGACAACAACGATCATAATAATAACAACAACAACAACAACAACAACAACAACAGACGGACGGACGGACGGACGGACGGACGGACGGACGGACGGACGGACGGACGCTGATGTCCGCGCCCGCGTGCCACGACACGCGGCCGCGCGCCTTGAATGCGATGGCGGGGGCGCCAGAGCGCCAGAAAATGATGCAGCCTGCTCTCACTTCTCGATCAACGGTAATGTGCTTCATTTGATTGATCGATCCACATGATTAGTGCAATCGTTGTGTCGGGGCGTCTGTCGCCGCACAAACTTTCCTGGAAATTGAAGTCCACCATAAAATATGTGAATACGTATCGACATCGCCCGGTGCCTTCCAGTCGCAACGCCTTCCGGTCGCAACAACAACAACAACAACAACAACAACAACAACAACAACAACAACAGCAGCAACAACAACAACAACAACAGCAACAGCAACAACTACCACTACTACTACCACCACCACTACTGCTACTACTGCTACTACTGCTACTACTGCTACTACTGCTACTGCTACTACTACTACTACTACTACTACTACTACTACTACTACTTATACTACTACTTCTACTACTACTTCTTCTACTACTACTACTACGACTACTACTACTACTACTACTACGACTACTACTACTACTACTACTACGACTACGACTACTACTACTACTACTACTACTACTACTACTACGACTACTAGTACTCCTACTACTACTACTACTACTACGACGACGACGACGACGACGACGACGACTACTACTACGACTACTATTTTTACTTATTCTACTTCTACTACTGCTACTACTACTACTACGACTACTACTACTACAACTACTACTACTACTACTACTACTACTACTACTACTACTACTACTACTACTACTACTACTACTACTACTACTACTACTCCTACTACTCCTACTACTACTACTACTACTACTACTACTACTACTACTCCTACTACTCCTACTACTACTACTACTACTACTACTACTACTACTACTAC